CTGCGCCAGTTGGACATCGTGAGGGGAGACGGAGGAGCGGCGTCTCTGATGCTGAAACAGATGCTTCAGGCCCTGGCCTAAGTTGTCAAAGTGGGAACCCTTGGAGGGCTTCTGGTCACCATCCACCAGCCTCTTCCCTTCTGTACCCCCAGGGTCGGCATCGTCACAGAGGCTGTCGCTGCCAGAAGCCTCCATCAGAGAACGCCAACCATGCCCTCCTGTGCTAACTCAATGCTCAGATCGCTGCTTTACTGTGAAGACTGATGTGATTCCTATCTTGAAATCAATGGTATGAAACCAAAAGATGCGACGGTGCCGGTGTGCAGCAGGCATAAGACTGGAGACAAAGCAATCGTGAAACTTCAAATATTCAACGATATCTGTGGGGGAAAAAAAAAAGGCGATAATGAATTATAGAGCTCTCCAATCAAAAACCTTTTACATTGTGTTCTATGACCGCCATTAAATCTGAACCCAAATACAGTCAAAATACAAGAGTCATGTGTAATCCAGTGTCAGACTTCCTGTAATAAAGACCGCTCACTGCTGCCCTATCTCCTTAGGCAGGGTGACCAGTCTGGACTCCGCCCCCTGCTGTAGTGGGTGTGGCCTGGGTCCCTCCCACAGCTCTGCTCTCCGTGCAGGCTATGTACAGTACAGAGATTATGTCTCTGTTACTTTTACAAGGTAATATCTGGGTTGGCAAAGGTATCTGGCTCGCACAAAGTGGATATATATATCTTTTGTGCCTACTAAACGCTTCCCCGCCGCCCTATAGCAGAAATACTACAGGGCGGCACGGGTTCAGAAAATCACATATACACACACACATATCTATCTATCTACACACACACATACATACATATATATATATGTATGTATGTGTATATACATGTCTCAATTTAGAACGCTGAGGGGTTGATTTACTAAAACTGGAGGTTGCAAAATCTGGTGCAGCTCTGTAAAGAGAGCAATCAGCTTCCTGCCAGGCTTTTTTTTTTGTCAAAGCTTAACCCCTTCACGCCAGCACCTCCTGTCCCTTTAGGAGTTTCAGAAGCCGGGAGGCGGGGCTTAGGGTCATGTGACCACCATAATGCGCCGTCACATGATCGGGAAAGGTCCCAATCGAAAGAGGAGATCGGGATCTTTCCGTGAGAACCGGACATGTGTGCTGGGAGTGTGCAGGGCGTGCGCTCTTGGCACACACAGTGGGGCAAAAAAGTATTTAGTCTCCACCAATTGTACAAGTTCTCCCACTTACAAAGATGAGAGAGGCCTGTAATTGGCATCATAGGGAGACCTCAACTATGAGAGACAAAATGAGAAAACAAATCCAGACAATCTCATTGGCTGATCTGGAAAGAATTTATTTGCAAATTATGGTGGAAAATAAGTATTTGGTGAATATGAAAAGTTCATGTCAATACTTTGTTATATATCCTTTGTTGGCAATGACAGAGGTCAGACGTTTCCTGGAAGTCTTCACAAGGTTGGCACCACTGTTGCTGGTATGTTGGCCCATCCTCCATGCAGATCTCCTCTAGAGCAGTGATGTTTTGGGGCTGTCGCTGGGCAACACGGACTTTCAACTCCCTCCAAAGGTTTTCTATGGTGTTGAGATCTGGAGACTGGCTAGGCCAGGGGTAGGCAACCTGCGGCTCTCCAGCTGTTGCAGGACTACAAGATCCATCATGCCTCTGCAAGTCATAGCTGTAACTGTCAGTTTTGTAATGTTGCAATGCCTCATGGGAAATGTAGTTCCACAACAGCTAGAGAGCCGCAGGTTGCCTACCCCTGGGCTAGGCCACTCCAGGACCTTGAAATGCTTCTTACGAAGCCACTCCTTCGTTGCCCGGGCAGTATGTTTGGGATCATTGTCATGTTGGAAGACCCAGCCACGTTTCATCTTCAATGCCCTTGCTGATGGAAGGAGGTTTGCACTCAAAATCTCACGTTACATGGCCCCATTCATTCTGTCCTGTACATGGATCAGTCCTCCTGGTCCCTTTGCGGAGAAACAGCCCCAAAGCATGATGTTGCCACCGCCCATGCTTCACAGTAGGTATGGTGTTCTTTGGATGCAACTCAGCATTCTCTCTCCTCCAAACACGACGAGTTGTATTTCTACCAAACAGTTCTATTTTGGTTTCATCTGACCATATGACATTCCCCCAATCCTCTTCTGGATCATCCAAATGCTCTCTAGCAAACGTCAGACGGGCCCCGACATGTACTGGCTTAAGCAGGGGGACACGTCTGGCACTGCAGGATCTGAGTCCCTGGCGGCGTAGTGTGTTACTGATGGTAGCCTTTGTTACGTTGGTCCCAGCTCTCTGCAGGTCATTCACTAGGTCCCCCCATGTGGTCCTGGGATTTTTGCTCACCGTTCTTGTGATCATTTTGACCCCACGGGGTGAGATCTTGCGTGGAGCCCCAGATCGAGGGAGATTATCAGTGGTCTTGTATGTCTTCCATTTTCTAATTATTGCTCCTGCAGTTG